ATCTTCTGGTAGGAAAGATATACACCTAGCCTTCTCGGACAAGGGTGAAACATCTCGGAGGTCCCATGGGCAAGTTGTGCACGTCAAAGATCCCTTTGGTGCTCATATGACATTATGCAGTTGTGAGAGCCGTAAAATCTCTACTAAATTTAACTTTTAAAAAAAGATCTCTTAGTGGTCTAAATTCGAAAAGAGTATTCTTCGGCCGCCACCCGAGCAAAATTTCAAAATTTCCTACCAACTGAAAATGTTTTAAGTGTCCCGCGAGCTCATATGGCCTTATGCAGTTGTGAGCGCCGTAAAACACTTACAAAAAAAAAAAAAAAAAAAAAAAACCCTCAATGGAGTCAGGGGGTAACATTTCACTAGAATGCCATTATATCTATATCATGTGTATGCCGGTATGTTAGATGGAATTTAGTAAAGAGTCAAATCAGGAAGTACATACGTATAAAATATGAGGTAGGTGTTTAATGACAGGTTTATAGATTTGAGAAGACGATAAATATATCTCTCTCTTGCTCTCGCTCTCTCTCTCTCTCTCTCTCTCTCTCTCTCTCTCTCTCTCTCTCTCTCTCTCTCTCTCTATCTCTCTCTTCTCCTCCCTACCTCTTCAATCTCTCTCTGTCTCTCTCTCTCCCTCCCTCCCTCATCCCCCAGTCCTCTGTCTCTAACTGTCTGTCTCTCTTTTTCTCTCAATATCTTTCTCTCCATTTCGCAAGATTTTCAGCAACTTAAGCCACCGACTTGATCTCAGGAAAGGAGTCAGATAACAAAATTTAAACCATCTACAAAACGCCAGCCTTTTCGTAAAAAGTATGTTCTTTGCATGTGTACATACCAGAGCTGTCTAGAATCTAGCCCACACTGGTACATACGTTATTAGCCAAAACCCCGCTCTTGGTTAGATGAAAGACCTGTAGACGGACTTTACGCAACACCTGACACGGCAAGGCCGGGGCTACGCAGTATGCCAACAGGCTTTAAGGTGAGCTTACATTGGTCCGATTAATCACCGTTTGTTTTGATGACTTGGCATCGCTGCAACTTCGTCAGAAGTAATGTTATAGTAGACACAACTTAGATCATTTAGTTGGCGGACTGCTGCGAACCTGCCTGTCAGGGCCACCCCAGGCTAAGAACGACACAATGTCCCAGAAATAAGATGGACATACTAGATTTTAAAAAGTCTCTCCACTCGGGCAATCGAACTTGGTACATGCACTTTTGTGTGCGACAGCGAAGAACCTGACCGCTTCACCTCTGACGCCGGTACTTCGTTCAAACAAAATCAAAAGTAAGTGCAGCAAAATGAAAGATCCGCCATTCTGGGTCACGTTACATGCGAACAACCTTTCTGTCTTATGTTTAGTTTTGTTTTAGTAGGGGTTTTACGGCGATCACAACTGCATAAGATCATATGAGCGCGCCCTTTTTGTATTAAAAGCGCCGATAAGGGGGGGGGGGGGGGGATCCAGGAAAACAAAGTGTTGAACACTGGAGGTTCGAGGTGATTAATTAGGGGAGCATGGTAAAGTCAGGGTGACCAATTAAGAAATTGTGGGAAATTAAACATCCCTTCTAACACTAAGGGGTTAATTCATCATCCATCTCTGACAAGACTGAGTCGGGAGACAGCAGAGCCTTGAAAACTTCGCAAATAGCCCAAGTTCGAGAACGATTCATCTGGTATTCGAACCATGGTCATCTGTCAGTAGCCATGCGCGACACCAACAGAAATAATGAGGGATTCTTTTTTTGTTGATTCCACCCAAGATCAAGGTTTATTCCTTTACTACTTTTATTTTTCCAGACCCCATATCTTATTTGAGAATTAGTGAGTCTGATCTTCAGATCCGACTCGAACAAGCAGATTCGACGATCATGCAGATTCGACTGGTCAGACATGAGTGTACCTGTCACGTTCAGTCAGATAGAGCCACATAGCGAGTGTCGCGCTCCTCGGGGTAGAATTAGCCTGCATGGCGTACAACGTTTGCGTCTCTTCTATTCTCCTAGACACAATATAGGTAATTTAGAAATCGGAGCTCTTGGACATACGCCAATACACCAGGCCCACCGGTAAAATATGCCAGGAGAAACGAGAGAGAGAGGGGGGGGGGAGGAGAGAGAGGGGGGGAGGGAGAGAGAGAGAGAGAGAGAGAGAGAGAGAGAGAGAGAGAGAGAGAGAGAGAGAGAGAGAGAGAGAGAGAGAGAGAGACCCCTAATCGAAATAGAATCCTAAGCTCTGCACTGGTCAATTCCAAAACCAATTGCGCAACGACTGCATGTCAACCCATGATGTAATTCTAGATGTAAAAAAAAAGCCAATGACCGACCTCCATTGCGAGTTCGAGTACCAGAACAGCTGTATAGTTTTGCAGAAAGCTGAGACAGAAAAAGATGTAACAGCAAAAGACAAAGCAACTAACAAGAGAAAGGCGACACCATAAGGTAATAGAGGCCGGGAAAGTAAAGTGAAAAGTAAAAATAAGTGAAAGTTTTACACCCCAATCGATACTATTTAGATTAGATCATCTAAGAAGCGAAGGAGAGAGAGAGAGAGAGAGAGAGAGAGAGAGAGAGAGAGAGAGAGAGAGAGAAAAGACAGACAGACAGATAAAGAGAGGAGACGAGAGAAGACAAGAGACAGACAGACAGACAGACAAACAGACAGACAGACAGACAGACAGACAGACAGACAGACAGACAGACAGACATGTAGCGCACACGCAGAGCAGACGGCGACTACTGACCCCGATTTACGCTTGAACAAGCCCGAAAACGTGACGTCATTGACACGCTCGGATCCCATCAACGGATCCCAGAAGCAGCCACTTTTCACACGACTATACCTCTGTTCAATCGGAAAGCCGCGTTCAAACAACAGCCAAAACAAACCGCTAGGCAAGGGATCATGCTTACGTCACGGAAGGTAGCGGATTGGGACCAAAATAGACCTCTGTATAGCCTATGTGCTGAGTGAAGCGAGCGTCCTGTAGGCTAGCAAGTGTCAATTTACCAACACACGACCCAATGCTGCATGACGAACGATTCTGGTCATTTAGCTGGAAGCGGGTGGGTGGGTGGGTGCATGGGTGGTCAATTAACTCTCACAGTACCGTGTTTTAGTACATTGGAACTACGTGTTCAGAAAGTCAGATTTTTTACAACAAAACTTGGTACAGCAAGACATAAAAAAGATGACTGGTGTATTTTTTTAAAAAACTGTTATGCACGGACTTAGCAAGACGTAAAGGGTTGTGTTTGTTTGTTTGTTTGTTTGAGTAAGGACCAATACATTGACACGATAACAGTCTTTTAGTGTACGGAATGTGCAAGACAGACAAGAAACAACACTAGAAAAAAAAAAAGAAAAGAAGTACGACCTATACAAGTGCACCCACCCCCGACTCGCAGACACAATAAGAGTAGTAGAAGGTGGAACTCCTGACAGAGCACATATAAGACTGAACGTGTACATGATGTGCCGTGCAGTACACTTGAACTACTTTGTAAGTACAAAAGACAACCGTCAGAGTGCACCATACGCCAGGGAGTACACATGAACTTTTATGTAAAATGAAACCCTTCAGAGTACACCACACGCTATGAGGTACACATAAACTACCATTAGGTACATAGAAAGCCTTCAGAGAGTACACGACGAGCCGTGCAGTACACATGAATTACACATGAACGACACACTACAAGATAGTCTTCAGAATAAACGATTCGCCGTGCAGTACACATGAACTACTTTGTACAAAAGCCAGCCTTCGCGTATGCATGAGAAGAGCGGGAATCCTTATTACACTTTAATGTAACCCGGGTGCTGGATAAATAAAACGAAAACAAAATAGGCCCGCTCTAGACACGAGGAGAATAGTTTGTCTGAGCATTGGGTACATGGATGAGGAATTTAGTACAAGGATAAGGCGTCTAGAGGTTGTAATTAGTTTTAATGCTTTACACCTCCACCAACACAATTTGGATTTAGAAAGCCGAAAATTTCGACTCTGGCTGTCTCGGCCAAATCGGGCAGAGTGGGGTATAACATAGCAATAGAAAGACGGAGGAACTCAATAAATGAACTCCTCCACTGAGGAATCGAACGAATCATGTCTTCTACGTGCGACGGACAATAGCCTAACCAATTTAAAACGTTTACCGGCAGCGATTTATTACGAAGGTAAAAGATTCTGTACATGATTGAAGTACATGGATAGGGGATTTACTACACGGGCGATGGATTTAGTACAAGGCTGAGGGAATTGAACATGAGTTAAGTACATGATTGAAGCAATATACAGGTACATGTATAACGCGAATCACGGATTCAGTAAATGGGAGAAGGGTTCAAAATAGCGTGCGGACCAACTTTTGAAGGCTGTTTTGCAGTTAGAGACCCTGAAAAACACGCAGAATTCCAGGTTCGAACCCCAACGGAGTCCAGGTTTGGCAAGTTCCGTTTGGAACGCTTCCTTTCAGTCGCAGACGTATATGTGCTATCCTGGTAAAGCTCTTCAGTATTGCACGCAAGAAACGTGAGTTCAACTCCACCACGTGAAAGTTCATTGTAAAATTTCCGTCTGTCTCCTGATACGCTGTAACCCTGAAATGAAGGGTAGAACCAGCCAGTCTTTCGTGTCATACGACTTTTTAAAAATATAGGCTTACACAGGAGCTGAACTCATTGGTGCTCTTATGACCTTATGCAGTTGCGAGTGCCGTAAAACCTCTACTACACCAAGAGCTGAACTCTGGTCCTCTACGAGGAACGGCAAAGAGCCTTGCCGCAACATAAGAGACGCCCATCATTAATTCACTAGTGTCGATGAGGCGGGTGTCAAACATTTTCAAACAATCATTAAAAACGAGAAGAGGGAGGAGTTGCATGGGTTGGTAAAAAGGACGCTGCTCTATCATTAAAATGGTTCACAAAAATAAAGCGCACTTAGGGTAAAGAACAGAAAGAAATAAATCAACATCCTACACACCATTCGATTCTTCGAAAGCATTGTTGTCGCCAGACCTTGCCCACATTGAGCGGCTGTCCGAGTAGTTTGGAGACTCCTTCCTCAAATAATTACACAATCCTAAATCCGAAACTCTTCAACAACGCCAAAGAAGCTGTAACAATCTTACACAACGAGTACACAGTGACATTCAACTTGGCAGAAAAGTACAACAATCTCCCAGGGAAAGTAAAAGAAATGAACACAGGGGAAATGAATAAACCCTGGTTTCTCTCTCTCTCTGCTCTCTGTGTGTCTGCCGTTCTCACGGAGCACTTTGAGAGTTGTCCTGTATCGATCAAAACGAGCTGAGGACTGCAGAAGGCAGAAGCGTTTGTTTGATATAGATCAATGGAAACCCCTCCGGGTAGATAGTAGTGCGCTCCCCGCCAGAGTTCACTGCACCCGGGGTGGGGTGTGTGTGTGTGTGTGTGGGTGTGTGTGTGGGGGACAAAAGGTGGGGCGCTCTGTGTCCGGGTGTTCTGCTGTTACAGGTTGTGTTTTTTTAAGTTGGGAATGTGCTGTTTGTGAGTGGGGATATGTATGTGTTTTTGTGTGTATGTATGTGTGTATGTGTGTGAGTGTGTGTGTGTGTGTGTGTGTGTGTGTGTG